ACTCTCTTATTGAATCTTTCGGAACGCAATACTCAATATAATGAAGTATATCTCATATTGGAGTTTATACAGAAAAACACCAGGTTGGAACTTCACTCTCAAATTTTTCAGCTAGTCTATAAGACCGGCGCAAATCACCATGGTGCTCTTTGAAGTATCTATATAGACTCCACTATACTCCATCAGACGTAAAAAATTTGGGAGCCTAAACCCAAATATGCCGCTGCTTCCAAATTATTATAATTTTGTAGCTTGTCACAATGCCATCTCATTGGTACGGAGTATTAAGATTTTCTCCATGTATATCTTATTAAAGCATACTCCTATGAGTAAAGAAGATCAAGTAGATCTATAGTTCATAAGAATATAGAAGGTGGAGAGAATTAATCAGAAAAAATATAAGCGGTACGAAATATCGATCATGTCACGTCCCAACCTCACAGGCAGACTTCAAGACTCCTCTCTATGACAACCCACACTTCTCGCCGTCTACTTCCAATACTGACATCCAACACAGTACCTCTTACTTAATCAATGTTCTTCACCTCTTCCTGTTTTGGAATTCTGGTATCAAGCAGCCAGCAGTCACTCCTGAGTCGCTGGGTTTTGTTTTCATCGAGGTGGGTGCGCCCGGGGGAGGGGGGGAGGGGAAGGGGACCAGGGGGGAGGAGGGGGGGAGGTGACTGAGGTTTTTATCTGTATAGATATGTTGGTGTCGTTCTCTCTCTTTTTTCTCTCTCTCTTTTTCCTTTCTGTTCGTAGCATGACGCATACTGATGGTGGATTACACACATATAGTATTCAACAAAATGCTATTATTCCTCTACGCAAACACACCTCTAGATAGTACAAAACACACGGCACAACAACAAACAAGTAGAGAAATCGTAAAACAACTTCAACAAAAAAACACCGATCAAACTGCTGATGGTGCGTATTGAACGATAAAAGCTTTTGCCTTCCCTCTCTCCATTCTCCAAAGCGCAATTCCCTGGGTTCGAGTGTTGTGTTACTGTGTGTGTGTGTGTGTGTGTGTGTTGTGTGTGTGTTACGTGTGTGTGAAAGCAAAGAGAGAAGGCATGAGGGGGTGAACAAATCTTCCAATGTAGCTGAGTGGTGGATCTGTTTGGGGGTTCAGGGTTTGTTATGTGTGTGTGTGTGTGTGTGTGTGTGTAGTGTGTGTGTGTGGTTGTGTTTGTCTGTGGTGTCGCTGTGTATCGTGTGGGTGTAGTAGGGTGGTGTTACTGTCTGTCTGGTGTGTTATGTGTGTGTGTGTGTGTCGCTGTAGAATATTTGTGTTTTGAACTGTCTGTGGTGAAATGATGTGGTGGTTTGTGGTGTGGTTTTGTCTGTGGTGTGTTTACTGTGTGTGTGTGTGTGGTGTGTGTGTGTTGTGTGTGTGTGTGTTGTGTGGATGTGTGCGGATAATGAGCCCAAGTCTCGGAGGTAAGGTTGATGAACTTGATTCAACTCGTGGGTCTGATTACTCGCTGCAACTGTTTGTGTTAGGCGAGAATATAATATAATATTATATTATATATAATAATAATCAGTTATAAGTCTGATGAAGCTGTTAGAGTGGTGTTTCAGGTAAAAGATATATTGGATTATATCAGCCGTTATAAGTGAATATCATCAGTCATCTGACGTGATCCAGTGATATGATCACTATCTAACATATATACAATGATAATCGGGTTTGCGACGTCTGCAACATAGAAGCAATATACACTTGATCATCATTAATCTGTTAATCAATCCCATTGCAGAGAGAGATCTGCTGTTAATGTAATGGATGCTGCACTGAACACCACACCCAACCACACACAACTCATCAGATCCATTTTAGTGCATTATACTGTGTGTGTGTGTTTGTGTTTAAGTGTGTCTGTGTGTGTTTACAGTGTTGCTGTGTGTTTGTGTTCAGTGGTGTGTGTTGTGTGTACGTGTTGTGTGTGTTATAAGTGTTGTGTTACAGTGTGTGGTGTGTGTTAAGTGTGTGTGTATAGTGTGTGTGGTTGTTTAGTGTGTGTGTTACAGTGTGTGTGTTTAGTTCAGTGTGTGTGTGTGTCAGTGTGTGTGTGTGGTGTGTTACAGTGTGTGTTGTTAGTGTGTGTGTGTTTTATAGTGTGTTTGTGTTACAGTGTGTGTGTGTTACAGTGGTGTCTGTATTATGGTGTGTTGTGTGTGTGTGTTCGTGTGTTGTATTATGTGTGTGTTGTGTGGTGTGTTGTTGTGTGTGTGTCTTTGTGTGTTTCCAGTAAAAATCCTCCAATTCTCATTTCATGCTTCAGTGAAAAGCTTCTCAACCACCGTTGTTTCTCCTCCTCATCCTCACCTCCTCTTCTCTTCCCTTTTTTCTCGCTCTCCTCTCATCCAGTTTTATTGATACGACTCAATATCTCCTGATCAGATTCTGATCAAAAAACCCTCTATATAATCTATAATCTATAACATTATAGATTGTGAACGCAGATCTGACCCAGTTGTCCATCACAATGTGGTTCTTGTCCCTAAATCCCCCCCATTGACAGGAGCCCTGATACCCAGATATTCAGTGTTATTGATCTGTGTACATCCTCTCAAACGTCGCTGTTTATTTGTTTTGTCCTGCAGGAGGAACCTGTTGTTTACTGGCTCCGTCTGGAGGTTGATGTAAATAATTGATCACTACAGCGGCTGGTTGAATATTCAGTGACTAAAGCAACTACTGAGTCAGTTAAACTGTTTGTTCTGTGTCAGTTCTCATTATTTATAATATTAATGTAATATTATTATTCATGTTTCATTCATTCAAACTTTATTTCTACTAGAGATCAAAGAGCGGAGACAGTTGGGCTTTACAATCACTGTCTCAATCTTTTTGAGCTTTGGCAACTTAATGAAATTATGTTGAACAAAAGCTACGTTGAGTTCGAGGAATCAGCTTTTCCTCTACAATCAAAGGTTTTTAATTATTTAACAATCTGCAGCATGAACAGAAGTTTTTAAGTTGATTAAACACAACTCCTCAAAATAATGTTTGAACCATAAATTATACGTTTCATTTTGCATTTATTTAAGTGGTCAAATATTTTAATTCTAATACATTTTAGTTATTAACTTGTTAAGCACACAGTTATCCATCTGGACCTACACTCCACTTTATTATATATAGTGTATATTTTGTGTTTTATTGTATTTTTATCCTCTATCTGAACTGAACTACTATTCCCTGTGCTGCTGTGCCAAATTTTAATTTCAATAAATGTGATCAATAAAGGAATATCAACTTATCTTAAAGGCAATAAAAGACCCAAAAATAATCTTTTTCAGTCTGATCTGCCACCACAGAAGCACACACACCATTAAGGCGTATATATATTAACCAACAATGTGAATGAGTTACGACTGTTTATGATCAATAAAGCTCAACATATCACCCAGCAACGTCTTTATTTATCTTTATATGACCAAAATAATGTTGTTTGAATGTTGCTGAAGGAGCTGTGGGTTGAATCCATATTTTCCAGTTGTTTGTGGTCTCCCGATAAGATTTCTGACACGGTTAAATTCTTCTTTTTACTCTTTGTGAATGAAACTCGCCCACAAACAGAGCAGAACAGGCGGCTGAATGCTGCAATTTGGAAGACATCGATTATTTTATTGATCGAAGCACACAAACAC